TATGTCTATGTCACTATGTCATTTCGTGTTACATCTTTGTCACTATGTCACTTCGTGTTACGTCTATGTCACTATGTCATTTAGCGTTACGCGTCTATGTCACTATGTAACTTCGTGTCACGTCTATATCACTATGTCACTTCGTGTTACGTCTATGTCACTACGTCACTTTGTGTTAAGTCTGTACCACTATGTCACTTCGTGTTACGTCTATGTCACGCTGTCACTTTATGTTACGTCTATGTCACTACGTCACTTTCTGTTACGTCTATGTCACTATGTCACTTCGTGTTACATCTATATCACTATGTCACTTCATGTTATGTCCATATCACTATGTCACTTCGTGTTACGTCTTTGTCCAATATTTCACTTTGTGTTACGTCTATGTCACTACTTCACTTCGTGTTACGTGTATGTCACTATGTCACTTCGTGTTATGTCTATGTCACTACTTCACTTCGTGTTATGTCTATATCACTATGTCATTTCGTGTTACGTCCGTGTCACTATGTCACTTCGTGTTATGTCTATGTCATTATGTCACTTCGTGTTACGTCTATTTAACTATGTCACTTCGTGTTACGTCTATGTCACTATGTCACTTCGTGTTACGTCTATATCACTACGTCACTTCGTGTTACGTCTATGTAACTATGTCACATCGTGTTACGTCTATGTCACTATGTCGACATATGTGGGGCGGTGGGGTAGCGAAGTTGTTAAGGAGTTCGATCGTCACGCCGAGGCCCTTGGTTCGATTCCTCAGGTGGGTACAATGTGTTAAGCCAATTTCAGGAATCCGAGGAGTGATAATTTTGGAATATTGCTAAAAGCAGTGCAAAACTACACGCATTTACTCCAAATATGTATGGGTAGTATACCGATATGATTCACTGCATGGAACCAGAGCGTCCTGACTATAGAGACGGTTGATGACATAAGAAAGTCATTATGTTACCATGCTAAAGTATAAACATAAGACAAAAGCTTTGATAACTCTATAAACATGTCACGTAAACTATTATTGCTTGCTGTTGACTGTCAGAAAGAAGGTTATAGTGATTAGGTTAAAGGTTTAGTTGATATGTATATTATTATGATGATACATGTTTACTATTTATAGTATCAATAGTTGAACATGCTCACATATTTTATTGTCACAGCTGCTCCTACGATATCTGGTCTACCTTCCACATACCGAGTGAACAAGTCAAGTAGATTGCGGCTAGACTGTAGTTTCTACACACGGTCAGCTACAACACCTACATACAGGTGGACGAACAGAGGGTTAACTGTTAGCACAGGGGCCGTACTCAACATAGTCAACATCAACAAGAATCAAGCTGGACGGTACACCTGCACTGCCACGGACACAGTGGGGGCTGACTCAGCAGCTGTCAATGTGGTGGTACAATGTGAGTAGTAGTATGACTTAATGTAGCCTGCAAACACTGGTGGTGGTACAATGTGAGTAGCAGTATACCTTAATGTAGCCTGCAGACACTGGTGGTGGTACAATGTGAGTGGCAGTGTGACTTATGCAGTTCGCAGACACTGGTTGTGAGTGGGAGTGTGACTTAATGTAGCCTGCAGACAATTGTGGTGGTACAATGTGAGTAGCAGTATACCTTAATGTAGCCTGCAGACAATGGTGGTGGTACAATGTGAGTTGCAGTGTGACTTATGCAGGTCGCAGACACTGGTTGTGAGTGGGAGTGTGACTTAATGTAGCCTGCAGACACTGGTGGTGGTACAATGTGAGTAGCAGTATACCTTAATGTAGCCTGCAGACACTGGTGGCGATACAATGTGAGTAGCAGTATACCTTAATGTAGCCTGCAGACACTGGTGGTGGTACAATGTGAGTAGCAGTATGACTTAATGTAGCCTGCAGACACTAGTTGTGGTACAATGTGAGTGGGAGTGTGACTTAATGTAGCCTGCAGACAATTGTGGTGGTACAATGTGAGTAGCAGTATGACTTAATGTAGCCTGCAGACACTGGTAGTGGTACAATGTGAGTTGCATTGTGACTTATGCAGGCCTCAGACGCTGGTGGTGGTACAATGTGAGTGGGAGTGTGACTTAATGCAGCCTGCAGACAATGGTGGTGGTACAATGTGAGTTGCATTGTGACTTATGCAGGTCGCAGACACTGGTTGTGGTACAATGTGAGTGGGAGTGTGACTTAATGTAGCCTGCAGACAATTGTGGTGGTACAATGTGAGTTGCATTGTGATTTATGCAGACCTCAGACGCTGGGGGTGGTCCAATGTGAGTGGCAGTGTGACCAAATGTAAGATGCAGACACAGGTGGTGGTACAATGGGAGTGGCAGTGTTATTTATGTAGGCCGCAGACGCTTGGGGTGGTTCAATGTGAGTGGCAGTGTGACCAAATGTAGGATGCAGACACAGGTGGTGGTACAATGTAAGGGGCAGTGTGATTTATGTAGGCCGCAGACGCTTGGGGTGGTACAATGTGAGTGGCAGTGTGACCAAATGTAGGATGCAGACACAGGTGGTGGTACAATGTAAGGGGCTGTGTGATTTATGTAGTCCGCAGACGCTGGGGGTGGTACAATGTGAGTGGCAGTGTGACCAAATGTAGGGTGCAGACACTGGTGGTGGTACAATGTGAGTGGCAGTGTGACTTAATGTAGGGTGCAGACACTGGTGGTGGTACAATGTAAGGGGCAGGGTGACCTAATGTCGGGTGCAGACACTGGTGGTGGTACAATGTGAGTGGCAGTGTGACCAAATGTAGGTTGCAGTCACTGGTGGTGGTACAATGTGAGTGGCAGTGTGTCTTAATGTAGGGTGCAGACGCTGGTGGTGGTACGGTGTATATGCTCTTGTTCAGGGTTACATGCATACATGGTATCGCCAAACATTCGGATTGTATAGATTAGTTGTTACACAAGCACATGGTCGTTGATGTGTCGCCTGTAGCATGCACATCATGAAAAAATGTGTGTATTTTATTCTGTTAAAGAAAACGAGTTATGAAGTCCGGTGATTTATTGCTGCACATGTGCTGGGGAAGCTGGTAAGATATTTCGTGCTCACCGATAACCTGGGATCTAAGAAAGCTTATTATATATATATTATTATATACAAGGAATTGTGATATGTTTAATCTTTTAAAACGTATTTGCGATTTCCTATGTGTAACCGTCACCGTTATGAACACTGCTCTTTGTTTGCACAACATTGAATTAATATACCAATAATAATCTTTCACTTGGTTCAAATTAAGATTATGTCAATGTCCAAACACACCCATGATAGCACAATCACAAGTGAAAACGTATTTTCAATGTAAAAAATGGAATCATTTGAAAAACAGGAACATCTTGCATCCATAAATCGGAATGGTTCTTGAGCACTGTTGTTAAAGCCTCTTGCTTGTAGATTCACCATTTTTAAATCATGGAAGAGGAAATGATATGTTCACTCTTGTAAAGCTTGTTTGCAATGTCCTATGTGTAACCATCCCAATAATGAACACTGCTCTTGGTTTGCACAACATTATTTAATGAGTTATTTGTAAATTAGGACCAATCATTATACATTACCTATAAGAGTAACTGGATTAATGAACCAATAACAAACTTTCATTTGGTTCAAATTAAGATTATGGTAATGTCGAAACACACCCATACAAGCCCAAACACACTTTGTCTCAGTAGAAACGTATTTTTCACTGTAAAGATTGGACGCATTTGAAAAACAGGAACATCTTTGCATCTGTAAATCGGAATGGTTCTTGAGCACTGTTGTTAACGCCTCTTGCTTGTAGATTCACCTGCCATATCTGGCCTCCCATCAACATACCAATTGAATGAGTCAGCTACTTTAAGACTGGACTGTAGTTCATATACAACACATGGCAACCCTTCTGCAACAACCTACAGTTGGTCACATGGAGGATCATCTGTCACTAGAGGAGCTGTACTGACAAGAATCAGCATCAATAGGAGTAAGGGAGGGGAATACACCTGTACTGCCAGTAACACAGTAGGATCAGACATTGCCTCCGTCAACGTAACCATACTATGTAAGCATATTTCGTTTACTTCTTTTCGAGGCATAGAAGAGGAAATTGTGATATGTTCAATCGTGTTAAGCTTATTTGCAATGGCTCATGTGTAACCATCGCCATAATGAACACTGCTCTTAGTTTGCACACACCCATACAAGCCCAAACACACTTTGTCTCAGCAGAAACGTATTTTTCACTATAAAGATAGGAAGCATTTGAAAAACAGGAACATCTTTGCATCTGTAAATCGAAATTGGTCTTGAGCACAGTTGTTAACACTTCTTGCTTGTAGATTCACCTGCCATATCTGGCATCCCATCCACGTACCAAGTGAATGAGTCAGCCACTTTAAGACTGGACTGTAGTTCATATACAACACATGGCAACCCTTCTGCAACAACCTACAGTTGGTCACATGGAGGGTCAACTATCAGTAGAGGAGCTGTACTGACAAGAAGCAGCATCAGTAGGAGTCAGGGAGGGGCGTACAGTTGTACTGCCAGTAACACAGTAGGATCAGACTCTGCCTCCGTCAACGTGACCATACTATGTAAGCATATTTCGTTTACTTCTTTTCGAGGCATAGAAGAGGAAATTGTGATATGTTCAATCGTGTTAAGCTTATTTGCAATGTCCTATTGTAACCATCGCCATAATGAACACTGCTCTTGGTTTGCACAATATTATGTAATGAGTAATTTGTAAATTAGGACCAATCACCATATATTAACTATAAGAGTAACTGGATTAATGAACTAATAACAAACTTTCATTTGGTTCAAATTAAGATTATGGTAATGTCGAAACACACCCATACAAGCCCAAACCCATTTTGTCTGAAGAGAAACGTATTTTTCACTGTAAAGATTGGACGCATTTGAAAAACAGGAACATCTTTGCATCCATAAATCGGAATGGTTCTTGAGCTCTAATGTTAACGCCTCTTCCTTGTAGATTCACCTGACATATCTGGCCTCCATTCAACGTACCAGGTGACTGAGTCAGCTACTTTAAGACTGGACTGTAGTTCATATACAACACGTGGCAACCCTTCTGCAACAACCTACACTTGGTCACATGGAGGGTCAACTGTCAGTAGAGGAGCTGTACTGACAAGAAGCAGCATCAATAGGAGTAAGGGAGGGGAATACAGTTGTACTGCCAGTAACACAGTAGGATCAGACATCGCCTCCGTCAACGTAACCATACTATGTAAGCATATTTCGTTTACTTCTTTTCGAGGCATAGAAGAGGAAATTGTGATATGTTCAATCGTGTTAAGCTTATTTGCAATGGCTCATGTGTAACCATCGCCATAATGAACACTGCTCTTAGTTTGCACACACCCATACAAGCCCAAACACACTTTGTCTCAGCAGAAACGTATTTTTCACTATAAAGATAGGAAGCATTTGAAAAACAGGAACATCTTTGCATATGTAAATCGAAATTGGTCTTGAGCACTGTTGTTAACACTTCTTGCTTGTAGATTCACCTGACATATCTGGCCTCCCATCCACGTACCAAGTGACTGAGTCAGCTACTTTAAGACTGGACTGTAGTTCACACACAACACATGGCAACCCTTCTGCAACAACCTACAGTTGGTCACATGAAGGGTCAACTGTCAGTAGAAGAGCTGTACTGACAAAAAGCAGCATCAGTAGGAGTCAGGGAGGGGCGTACACCTGTACTGCCAGAAACACAGTAGGATCAGACTCTGCCTCCGTCAACGTAGACGTAAGATGTAAGCAAATTTTGTTTACTTCTTTTCCAGGCATGGCAGAGGAAATTGTTATAGTTCCAAACGTATTTGTAATGTTATCTGTGTAAGCATCATCATTATGAACAACGCTCTTGGTTTGAACATCATTTATTAATAAGTAATTTCTAAGTTGTGATTAATCGTTATATATTCTAATCAAAACTGTATGAACAAAACACATAACAATTATTGTTTGAATTTGTTGAATATTTGAACGCATGTTGATTTGTAAACGAACCTAAGACACATAAAACACCTATAACTTAATAGAAACTGATGTTTAACTGCCATTTTCACGTATCAAGTCTCTGAAGCAGCGCAACTACACACAAACACATCTTATAAACCTCCAGTGATGCATTACCATTGTTACAGCAGGTTGTTCTTTTCTCCGAAAATCCCTCTGCCCACGGGATTCTCGAGCTGTGCGCTTTTGACTGAGAACTTTCGAGTGCTACAATTGAAATTTCAGAATTAAAGTATGTCAATTAAACAAAAATGCATCTTCATATCTGTCGGTTTATAAGTCAGATATAAACTTTCTCATATGGCTAACCGTGAAAATAATGCACTCCAGCGCAAGGAACATCCGTTGGGCCTACGGCCTGCGGGCTTTTCCTTTGCCGGACTGCATTATTTTCACGGATAGCCCGCACAGGCCTTTTATATCCTATATTTAGGGAATCCAGGAGATAATTTTCACATTCGTGATGATATGTTAATTAAACATAAAGGAGCAGTAGGAAAGTATGTCATAGTAAAGAGTTGATGCATTTGAAAGACTTGGACATCCTTGCATCCATAGATATAATTGGTTCTGGACCAGTATTGATGCATCTTCTTGCTTGTAGATTCACCTGATATATCTGGCCTCCCATCCACGTACCAAGTGAATGAGTCAGCTACTTTAAGACTGGACTGTAGTTCATATACAACACATGGCAACCCTTCTGCAACAACCTGCAGTTGGTCACATGGAGGGTCATCTGTCGGTAGAAGAGCTGTACTGACAAGAAGCAGCATCAGTAGGAGTCAGGGAGGGGCGTACACCTGTACTGTCAGGAACACAGTAGGATCAGACTCTGCCTCCGTCAACGTGACCATACTATGTAAGCATAAATCGCTTACTTCTTTTCGAGGCATAGAAGAGGAAATTGTGATATGTTCAATCGTGTTGAGCTTATTTGCAATGTCCTATGGGTAACCATCGCCATAATGAACACTGCACTTGGTTTGCACAACATTATCTAATGAGTAGTTTTTAAATTAGGACCAATCATTATATATTACCTATAAGAGTAACTGGATAATTGAACCAAAAACAAACTTTCATTTGGTTCAAATTAAGATTGTGTTAATGTCGAAACACACCCATACAAGCCCAAACACACTCTGTCTCAGTAGAAACGTATTTTTCACTATAAAGATAGGAAGCATTTGAAAAACAGGAACATCTTGCACCTGTAAATCGAAATTGGTCTTGAGCACTGTTGTTAACACTTCTTGCTTGTAGATTCACCTGGCATATCTGGCCTCCCATCCACGTACCAAGTGACTGAGTCAGCTACTTTAAGACTGGACTGTAGTTCACACACAACACAGGGCAACCCATCTGCAACAACCTACAGTTGGTCACATGGAGGGTCATCTGTCGGTAGAGGAGCTGTACTGACAAGAAGCAGCATCAGTAGGAGTCAGGGAGGGGCGTACACCTGTACTGCCAGAAACACAGTAGGATCAGAATCTGCCTCCGTCAACGTAGACGTAAGATGTAAGCAAATTTTGTTTACTTCTTTTCCAGGCATGGCAGAGGAAATTGTTATAGTTCCAAACGTATTTGTAATGTGAACTGTGTAAGCATCATCATTATGAACAACGCTCTTGGTTTGAACACCATTTATTAATAAGTAATTTCTAAGTGATGATTAATCGTTATATATTCTAATCGAAACTGTATTAACAAAACATATAACAATTATTGTTTGAATTTGTTGAATATTTGAACGCATGTTGATTTGTAAACGAACCTAAGACACCTAAAACACCTATAACTTAATAGAAACTTATGTTTAACTGCCATTTTCACGTATCTAGTCTCTGAAGCAGCGCAACTACACACACACATCTTATAAACCTCCAGTGATGCATTACCATTGTTACAGCAGGTTGTTCTTTTCTCCGAAAATCCCTTTGCCCACGGGATTCTCGAGCTGTGCGCTTTTGACTGAGAACTTTCGAGTGCTACAATTGAAATTTCAGAATTAAAGTAATGTCAATTAAATAAAAATGCATCTTCATATCCTTCGGTTTATAAGTCAGATATAAACCTTCTCCTATGGCTATCCGTGAAAATAAGGCACTCCAACGCAGGAACATACGTTGGGCCTACGGCTTGCGGACTTTTCCTTTGCCGGACTGCATTATTTTCAAGGATAGCCCACGGAGGCGGTTTATATCCTATACTTAGGGAATCCCGGAGATAATTTTCACATTCGTGAGGTATGTTAATTAGACAGAAAGGACCGGTATGTCATAGTAAAGAGTTGATGCATTTGAAAGACTTGAACATCCTTGCATCCATAGATATAATTGGTTCTGAACCAGTATTGATGAATCTTCTTGCTTGTAGATTCACCTGAAATATCTGGCCTCCCATCCATGTACCAAGTGACTGAGTCAGCCACTTTAAGGCTGGACTGTAGTTCATATACAACACAGGGCAATCCTTCTGCAACATCCTACACTTGGTCACATGGAGGGTCAACTGTCGGTAGAGGAGCTGTACTGACAAGAAGCAGCATCAGTAGGAGTCAGGGAGGGGCGTACACCTGTACTGTCAGAAACACAGTAGGATCGGACTCTGCCTCCGTCAACGTGACCATACTATGTAAGCATATTTCGTTTACTTCTTTTCGAGGCATAGACGAGGAAATTGTGATATGTTCAATCGTGTTAAGCTTATTTGCAATGTCCTATGTGTAACCATCGCCATAATGAACACTGCTCTTGGTTTGAACACCATTTATTAATAAGTAATTTCTAAGTTCTGATTAATCGTTATATATTCTAATCGAAACTGTATTAACAAAACATATAACAATTATTGTTTGAATTTGTTGAATATTTGAACGCATGTTGATTTGTAAACGAACCTAAGACACCTAAAACACCTATAACTTAATAGAAACTTATGTTTAACTGCCATTTTCACGTATCCAGTCTCTGACGCAGTGCAACTACACACACACATCTTATAAACCTCCAGTGATGCATTACCATTGTTACAGCAGGTTGTTTTTTTCTCCGAAAATCCCTCTGCCAACGGGATTTTCGAGCTGTGCACTTTTGATTGAGAACTTTCGAGTGCTACAATTGAAATTTCCGAATTAAAGTAATGTCAATTAAACAAAAATGCATCTTCATATCTGTCGGTTTATAAGTCCGATATAAACCTTCTCCTATGGCTATCCATGAAAATAATACACTCCAGCGCAGGAACATCCGTTGGGCCTACGGCCTGCGGACTTTTCCTTTGCCGGACTGAATTATTTTCAAGGATAGCCCACGGAGGCGGTTTATATCCTATATTTAGGGAATCCCGGAGATAATTTTCACATTCGTTAAGAGATGTTAATTAAACATAAAGGAGCAGTAGGAAAGTATGTCATAGTAAAGAGTTGATGCATTTGAAAGACTTGAACATCCTTGCATCCATAGATATAATTGGTTCTGGACCAGTATTGATGAATCTTCTTGCTTGTAGATTCACCTGAAATATCTGGCCTCCCATCCACGTACCAAGTGACTGAGTCAGCCACTTTAAGGCTGGACTGTAGTTCATATACAACACAGGGCAATCCTTCTGCAACATCCTACACTTGGTCACATGGAGGGTCAACTGTCGGTAGAGGAGCTGTACTGACAAGAAGCAGCATCAGTAGGAGTCAGGGAGGGGCGTACACCTGTACTGTCAGAAACACAGTAGGATCGGACTCTGCCTCCGTCAACGTGACCATACTATGTAAGCATATTTCGTTTACTTCTTTTCGAGGCATAGAAGAGGAAATTGTGATATGTTCAATCGTGTTAAGCTTATTTGCAATGTCCCATGTGTAACCATCGCCATAATGAACACTGCACTTGGTTTGAACACCATTTATTAATAAGTAATTTCTAAGTTGTGATTAATCGTTATATATTCTAATCGAAACTGTATTAACAAAACATATAACAATTATTGTTTGAAATTGTTGAATATTTGAACGCATGTTGATTTGTAAACGAACCTAAGACACCTAAAACACCTATAACTTAATAGAAACTTATGTTTAACTGCCATTTTCACGTATCCAGTCTCTGACGCAGTGCAACTACACACACACACACATCTTATAAACCTCCAGTGATGCATTACCATTGTTACAGCAGGTTGTTCTTTTTCTCCGAAAATTCCTCTGCCCACGGGATTCTCGAGCTGTGCGCTTTTGACTGAGAACTTTCGAGTGCTACAATTGAAATTTCAGAATTAAAATAAGGTCAATTAAACAAAAATGCATCTTCATATCTGTCGGTTTATAAGTCAGATATAAACCTTCTCCTCTGGCTATCCATGAAAATAATACACTCCAGCGCAGGAACATCCGTTGGGCCTACGGCCTGCGGACTTTTCCTTTGCCGGACTGAATTATTTTCAAGGATAGCCCACGGAGGCGGTTTATATCCTATACTTAGGGAATCCCGGAGATAATTTTCACATTCGTTAAGAGATGTTAATTAAACATAAAGGAGCAGTAGGAAAGTATGTCATAGTAAAGAGTTGATGCATTTGAAAGACTTGAACATCCTTGCATCCATAGATATAATTGGTTCTGGACCAGTATTGATGAATCTTCTTGCTTGTAGATTCACCTGAAATATCTGGCCTCCCATCCACGTACCAAGTGACTGAGTCAGCCACTTTAAGGCTGGACTGTAGTTCATATACAACACATGGCAATCCTTCTGCAACATCCTACACTTGGTCACATGGAGGGTCAACTGTCGGTAGAGGAGCTGTACTGACAAGAAGCAGCATCAGTAGGAGTCAGGGAGGGGCGTACACCTGTACTGTCAGAAACACAGTAGGATCGGACTCTGCCTCCGTCAACGTGACCATACTATGTAAGCATATTTCGTTTACTTCTTTTCGAGGCATAGAAGAGGAAATTGTGATATGTTCAATCGTGTTAAGCTTATTTGCAATGTCCCATGTGTAACCATCGCCATAATGAACACTGCACTTGGTTTGAACACCATTTATTAATAAGTAATTTCTAAGTTGTGATTAATCGTTATATATTCTAATCGAAACTGTATTAACAAAACATATAACAATTATTGTTTGAATTTGTTGAATATTTGAACGCATGTTGATTTGTAAACGAACCTAAGACACATAAAACACCTATAACTTAATAGAAACTTATGTTTTAACTGCCATTTTCACGTATCCAGTCTCTGAAGCAGCGCAACTACACACACACATCTTATAAACCTCCAGTGATGCATTACCATTGTTACAGCAGGTTGTTCTTTTTCTCCGAAAATTCCTCTGCCCACGGGATTCTCGAGCTGTGCGCTTTTGACTGAGAACTTTCGAGTGCTACAATTGAAATTTCAGAATTAAAATAAGGTCAATTAAACAAAAATGCATCTTCATATCTGTCGGTTTATAAGTCCGATATAAACCTTCTCCTCTGGCTATCTGTGAAAATAATGCACTCCAGCGCAAGGAACATATGTTGGACCTACGGCCTACGGGCTTTTCCTTTGCCGGACTCCAATATTTTCACGGATAGCCCGCACGGAGGCGGTTTATATCCTATACTTAGGGAATCCAGGAGATAATTTTCACATTCGTGAAGATATGTTAATTAAACATAAAGGAGCAATAGGAAAGTATGTCATAGTAAAGAGTTGATGCATTTGAAAGACTTGGACATCCTTGCATCCATAGATATAATTGGTTATGGACCAGTATTGATGCATCTTCTTGCTTGTAGATTCACCTGAAATATCTGGCCTCCCATCCACGTACCAAGTGATTGAGTCAGCTACTTTAAGACTGGACTGTAGTTCATATACAACACAGGGCAACCCACAAGCAGCAACCTACAGTTGGTCACATGGAGGGTCATCTGTCGGTAGAAGAGCTGTACTGACAAGAAGCAGCATCAGTAGGAGTCAGGGAGGGGCGTACACCTGTACTGTCAGAAACACAGTAGGATCAGACTCTGCCTCCGTCAACGTGACCATACTATGTAAGCATATATTGTTTACTTCTTTTCGAGGCAAAGACGGGGAAATTGTGATATGTTAAATCGTGTTAAGCTTATTTGCAATGTCCTATGTGTAATCATCGCAATAATGAACACTGCTCTTGGTTTGCAGAACTTTATTTAATGAGTAATTTTTAAATTAGGACCAATCACCATATATTAACTATAAGAGTAACTGGATTAATGAACCAATAACAAACTTTCATTTGGTTCAAATTAAGATTATGGTAATGTAAAAACACACCCATACAAGCCCAAACCCATTTTGTCTCAAGAGAAACGTATTTTTCACTATAAAGATTGGACGCATTTGAAAAACAGGAACATCTTTGCATCCATAAATCGGAATGGTTCTTGAACTCTGTTGTTAACGCCTCTTGCTTGAAGATTCACCTGCCGTATCTGGCCTCCCATCAACATACCAAGTGACTGAGTCAGCTACTTTAAGACTGGACTGTAGTTCATATACAACACATGGCTACCCTTCTGCAACAACCTACAGTTGGTCACATGGAGGGTCATCTGTCGGGAGAGGAGCTGTACTGACAAGAATCAGCATCAGTAGGAGTCAGGGAGGGGAATACACCTGTACTGCCAGTAACACAGTAGGATCAGACATCGCCTCCGTCAACGTAACCATACTATGTAAGCATATTTCGTTTACCTCTTTTCGAGGCATAGAAGAGGAAATTGTGATATGTTCAATCGTGTTAAGCTTATTTGCAATGTCCCATGTGTAACCATCGCCATAATGAACACTGCACTTGGTTTGCAGAACATTTTCTAATGAGTAATTTGTAAATTAGGACCAATCATTATATATTACCTATAAGAGTAACTGGATAATTGAACCAAAAACAAACTTTCATTTGGTTCAAATAACGATTGTGTTAATGTCGAAACACACCCATACAAGCCCAAACACACTCTGTCTCAGTAGAAACGTATTTTTCACTATAAAGATTGGAAGCATTTGAAAAACAGGAACATCTTTGCATCTGTAAATCGAAATGGGTCTTGGGCACTGTTGTTAACACTTCTTGCTTGTAGATTCACCTGCCATATCTGGCCTCCCATCCACGCACCAAGTGACTGAGTCAGCTACTTTAAGACTGGACTGTAGTTCACACACAACAATTGGCAACCCATCTGCAACAACCTACAGTTGGTCACATGGAGGGTCAACTGTCAGTAGAGGAGCTGTACTGACAAGAAGCAGTATCAGTAGAAGTCGGGGAGGGGCGTACACCTGTACTGCCAGAAACACAGTAGGATCAGACTCTGCCTCCGTCAACGTAGACATAAGATGTAAGCAAATTTTGTTTACTTCTTTTCCAGGCATGGCAGAGGAAATTGTTATAGTTCCAAACGTATTTGTAATGTTATCTGTGTAAGCATCATCATTATGAAAAACGCTCTTGGTTTGAACATCATTTATTAATAAGTAATTTCTAAGTTGTGATTAATCGTTATATATTCTAATCGAAACTGTATGAACAACACACATAACAATTATTGTTTGAATTTGTTGAATATTTGAACGCATGTTGATTTGTAAACGAACCTAAGACACCTAAAACACCTATAACTTAATAGAAACTTATGTTTAACTGCCATTTTCACGTATCTAGTCTCTGAAGCAGCGCAACTACACACACACATCTTATAAACCTCCAGTGATGCATTACCATTGTTACAGCAGGTTGTTCTTTTCTCCGAAAATCCCTTTGCCCACGGGATTCTCGAGCTGTGCGCTTTTGACTGAGAACTTTCGAGTGCTACAATTGAAATTTCAGAATTAAAGTATGTCAATTAAACAAAAATGCATCTTCATATCTGTCGGTTTATAAGTCAGATATAAACTTTCTCGTATGGCTATCCGTGAAAATAAGGCACTCCAGCGCAAGGAACATCCGTTGGGCCTACGGCCTGCGGGCTTTTCCTTTGCCGGACTGCATTATTTTCACGGATAGCCCGCACAGGCCTTTTATATCCTATACTTTGGGAATCCAGGAGATAATTTTCACATTCGTGAAGATATGTTAATTAAACAGAAAGGATGAGTAGGAAAGTATGTCATAGTAAAGAGTTGATGCATTTGAAAGACTTGGACATCCTTGCATCCATAGATATAATTGGTTATGGACCAGTATTGATGCATCTTCTTGCTTGTAGATTCACCTGATATATCTGGCCTCCCATCCACGTACCAAGTGAATGAGTCAGCCACTTTAAGACTGGACTGTAGTTCATATACAACACATGGCAACCCTTCTGCAACAACCTACAGTTGGTCACATGGAGGGTCATCTGTCGGTAGAAGAGCTGTACTGACAAGAAGCAGCATCAGTAGGAGTCAGGGAGGGGCGTACACCTGTACTGTCAGGAACACAGTAGGATCAGACATCGCCTCCGTCAACGTGACCATACTATGTAAGCATATTTCGTTTACTTCTTTTCGAGGCATAGACGGGGAAATTGTGATAAGTTCAATCGTGTTGAGCTTATTTGCAATGTCCTATGGGTAACCATCGCCATAATGAACACTGCTCTTGGTTTGCACAACATTATCTAATGAGTAATTTGTAAATTAGGACCAATCATTATATATTACCTATAAGAGTAACTGGATAATTGAACCAAAAACAAACTTTCTTTTGGTTCAAATTAAGATTGTGTTAATGTCGAAACACACCCATACAAGCCCAAACACACTCTGTCTCAGTAGAAACGTATTTTTCACTATAAAGATAGGAAGCATTTGAAAAACAGGAACATCTTGCACCTGTAAATCGAAATTGGTCTTGAGCACTGTTGTTAACACTTCTTGCTTGTAGATTCACCTGACATATCTGGCCTCCCATCCACGTACCAAGTGACTGAGTCAGCTACTTTAAGACTGGACTGTAGTTCACACACAACACAGGGCAACCCATCTGCAACAACCTACAGTTGGTCACATGGAGGGTCATCTGTCGGTAGAAGAGCTGTACTGACAAGAAGCAGCATCAGTAGGAGTCAGGGAGGGGCGTACACCTGTACTGCTAGAAACACAGTAGGATCAGACTCTGCCTCCGTCAACGTAGACGTAAGATGTAAGCAAATTTTGTTTACTTCTTTTCCAGGCATGGCAGAGGAAATTGTTATAGTTCCAAACGTATTTGTAATGTGAACTGTGTAAGCATCATCATTATGAACAACGCTCTTGGTTTGAACACCATTTATTAATAAGTAATTTCAAAGTTATGATTAATCGTTATATATTCTAATCGAAACTGTATTAACAAAACATATAACAATTATTGTTTGAATTTGTTGAATATTTGAATGCATGTTGATTTGTAAACGAACCTAAGACACCTAAAACACCTATAACTTATTATAAACTTATGTTTAACTGCCATTTTCACGTATCTAGTCTCTGAAGCAGCGCAACTACACACACACATCTTATAAACCTCCAGTGATGCATTACCATTGTTACAGCAGGTTGTTCTTTTCTCCGAAAATCCCTTTGCCCACGGGATTCTCGAGCTGTGCACTTTTGACTGAGAACTTTCGAGTGCTACAATTGAAATTTCAGAATTAAAGTAATGTCAATTAAATAAAAATGCATCTTCATATCCTTCGGTTTATAAGTCAGATATAAACCTTCTCATATGGCTATCCGTGAAAATAATGCACTCCAGCGCAGGAACATCCGTTGGGCCTACGGCCTGCGGACTTTTCCTTTGCCGGACTGCATTATTTTCACGGATAGCCCACGGAGGCGGTTTATATCTTATACTTTGGGAATCCTGTAGATAATTTTCACATTCGTGAGGTATGTTAATTAAACAGAAAGGACCGGTATGTCATAGTAAAGAGTTGATGCATTTGAAAGACTTGAACATCCTTGCATCCATAGATATAATTGGTTCTGAACCAGTATTGATGAATCTTCTTGCTTGTAGATTCACCTGAAATATCTGGCCTCCCATCCACGTACCAAGTGACTGAGTCAGCCACTTTAAGGCTGGACTGTAGTTCATATACAACACAGGGCAATCCTTCTGCAACATCCTACACTTGGTCACATGGAGGGTCAACTGTCGGTAGAGGAGCTGTACTGACAAGAAGCAGCATCAGTAGGAGTCAGGGAGGGGCGTACACCTGTACTGTCAGAAACACAGTAGGATCGGACTCTGCCTCCGTCAACGTGACCATACTATGTAAGCATATTTCGTTTACTTCTTTTCGAGGCATAGACGAGGAAATTGTGATATGTTCAATCGTGTTAAGCTTATTTGCAATGTCCTATGTGTAACCATCGCCATAATGAACACTGCTCTTGGTTTGAACACCATTGATTAATAAGTAATTTCTAAGTTGTGATTAATCGTTATATATTCTAATCGAAACTGTATTAACAAAACATATAACAATTATTGTTTGAATTTGTTGAATATTTGAACGCATGTTGATTTGTAAACGAACCTAAGACACCTAAAACACCTATAACTTAATAGAAACTTATGTTTAACTGCCATTTTCACGTATCCAGTCTCTGAAGCAGCGCAACTACACACACACATCTTATAAACCTCCAGTGATGCATTACCATTGTTACAGCAGGTTGTCCTTTTTCTCCGAAAATCCCTCTGCCAACGGGATTTTCGAGCTGTGCACTTTTGATTGAGAACTTTCGAGTGCTACAATTGAAATTTCCGAATTAAAGTAATGTCAATTAAACAAAAATGCATCTTCATATCTGTCGGTTTATAAGTCCGATATAAACCTTCTCCTATGGCTATCCATGAAAATAATACACTCCAGCGCAGGAACATCCGTTGGGCCTACGGCCTGCGGACTTTTCCTTTGCCGGACTGAATTATTTTCAAGGATAGCCCACGGAGGCGGTTTATATCCTATACTTAGGGAATCCCGGAGATAATTTTCACATTCGTTAAGAGATGTTAATTAAACATAAAGGAGCAGTAGGAAAGTATGTCATAGTAAAGAGTTGATGCATTTGAAAGACTTGAACATCCTTGCATCCATAGATATAATTGGTTCTGGACCAGTATTGATGAATCTTCTTGCTTGTAGATTCACCTGAAATATCTGGCCTCCCATCCACGTACCAAGTGACTGAGTCAGCCACTTTAAGGCTGGACTGTAGTTCATATACAACACATGGCAATCCTTCTGCAACATCCTACACTTGGTCACATGGAGGGTCAACTGTCGGTAGAGGAGCTGTACTGACAAGAAGCAGCATCAGTAGGAGTCAGGGAGGGGCGTACACCTGTACTGTCAGAAACACAGTAGGATCGGACTCTGCCTCCGTCAACGTGACCATACTATGTAAGCATATTTCGTTTACTTCTTTTCGAGGCATAGAAGAGGAAATTGTGATATGTTCAATCGTGTTAAGCTTATTTGCAATGTCCCATGTGTAACCATCGCCATAATGAACACTGCACTTGGTTTGAACACCATTTATTAATAAGTAATTTCTAAGTTGTGATTAATCGTTATATATTCTAATCGAAACTGTATTAACAAAACATATAACAATTATTGTTTGAATTTGTTGAATATTTGAACGCATGTTGATTTGTAAACGAACCTAAGACACCTAAAACACCTATAACTTAATAGAAACTTATGTTTAACTGCCATTTTTACGTATCCAGTCTCTGAAGCAGCGCAACTACACACACACATCTTATAAACCTCCAGTGATGCATTACCATTGTTACAGCAGGTTGTTCTTTTCTCCGAAAATCCCTCTGCCCACGGGATTCTCGAGCTGTGCGCTTTTGACTGAGAACTTTCGAGTGCTACAAATGAAATTTCAGAATTAAAGTAATGTCAATTAAACAAAAATGCATCTTCATATCTGTCGGTTTATAAGTCAGATATAAACCTTCTCATATGGCTATCCGTGAAAATAATGCATTCCAGCGCAGGGACATCCGTTGGGCCTACGGCCTGCGGGCTTTTCCTTTGCCGGACTGCATTATTTTTACGGATAGCCCGCACAGGCGGTTTATATCCTATATTTAGGGAATCCTGTAGATAATTTTCACATTCGTGAAGATATGTTAAATAAACAGAAAGGAGCAGTAGGAAAGTATGTCATAGTAAAGAGTTGATGCATTTGAAAGACTTGGACATCCTTGCATCCATAGATATAATTGGTTATGGACCAGTATTGATGAATCTTCTTGCTTGTAGATTCACCTGAAATATCTGGCCTCCCATCCACGTACCAAGTGAATGAGTCAGCTACTTTAAGACTGGACTGTAGTTCATATACAACACAGGGCAACCCACAAGCAGCAACCTACAGTTGGTCACATGGAGGGTCATCTGTCGGTAGAAGAGCTGTACTGACAAGAAGCAGCATCAGTAGGAGTCAGGGAGGGGCGTACACCTGTACTGTTAGAAACGCAGTAGGATCAGACTCTGCCCCAGTCAATGTGGATGTCCAGTGTATGAATCCTGTGATTAAGTTGTAATAAAGATAAACGAATTCAATATTCATAATAAACTCCAAATGCACTCTGAGCTATTTATGTGCATGTTCAGTGTTGTTATCACAAACACCTTGAGTGTAACTGATCAGATATAGACCTCCCAAATGAATGAAGGAAATGGGTGTTGCGATACATCCCTGACTATTTAAAATAACACATGTACTACTCTAAGAATATGACGTTTATGTATCACCATCAGTATCGTGTATGTATGGTTTCATGTCACAGATCCACCTGTACTCTCTGGTGTTCCACTCGATTACCAAGTGATGGAAAATTCTCCAGTGTCGATCAACTGTATGCGTTACACTTCCCCAGGCAACCCGTCAACAACTTACTACACATGGAGCTATGGGACATCTATTGTTAGTACTAAGGCGGTACTTCAACTAAACAACATTAACAGAACTGCGAGAGGACAATACACCTGCACTGTCAGCAATGCTGCAGGGAAGGAGGCAGCCTCAGTCACAGTTGATGTTCAGTGTGGGTAGTACTTTTTACTTGGCATAACTAAAAGATATACGAATCAGAGAAACATTGATTTCTCCATGCTCTATTTAAAACGAATCTTAGTTCTACAACACACATATAAGAATGAACACCATGTCATTATCAAATATAGCTAATTAATAAATACAATTTACAGGCCATCACCACATATCACTTATATGTCATGGTTTGATTTAATTGTTTACTGGGGCGGTCGGGTAGCCTAGTGATTAAACCGTTCGCTCCTTACGGCGAAGACCCGGGTTCGATTCCCGACATTGGCACAATGTGTGAAGCCCATTTCTGGTGTCCCCCGCCGTGATATTTCTGGAATAGTGCTAAAAGCGGCGTCAAAACCATACTCACTCACTCACTAATTGTTTACTATCTCAGCAAATGTATATATCATATAATGCATAAACATTTCTTTTTGTAACAGATTCACCAACACTATCTGGCTTTCCCTCAACCTACCAAGTGATTAAGTCCTCCACATTGTGGATAGACTGTAGCAATTATACAACTGATGGGAACCCTGCTACAACAGACTACTCCTGGGTCTTCAAAGGGTCCACTGTCTGTTCTGGCGCAGTGCTGAGAATAGACGCAATACGTGGGAACCAGGGAGGACGGTACACCTGCACTGCCAGTAACACACTTTCACCAAGTGGAGGGTCTCAACAACAGGGGGCGGCCACAGCGCAGGTGGACGTGGTTGTACAGTGTGAGTAACATGTTCTGCACGATGTGGTGTTTGAAGTAAGTAAGCCATCAAGCAAGAAAATACATACAAAACTCAAGCACTTAACTTCTGTCAGTACTGGGGCTGTTCTTGAGAGAGGCAAACTCATAAAAGAATAAGGAAGACAGCTTGACATTATACAGATGGATTCCACGACTGGGTATGGCAACAACACAGATCAGTGTGGATATTCAGTGTATACATTTATACAAAACGCTGCATATACTTGTATTTGACATTTAGACATTCATAAGTTCTCCATATTCGAAGTATCCCATATATACAAACAAACATATTTCGCACCGACTTTGTTCCTCCAGTTCTTGTTTTATCCCCTCGTCGTTAAGCACCTTAACGCTTTGTAATGAGTAATGTCACCAAACCCCCAATATCCAGCTCTCCCTACAGACAATGTATCCACTAGACCACAGAGACCTGACAGATTAGAAAGGTAGACCAAAATCAGTTGTTTTCGAACAAATTTGCATCTGTGCACAGATCAGAAGTTGAAAATAAATATATACTTTTAGACTGAGGTTAGGAAGTTATTTATTTTCAAACTGAATGTTTCCAATGATTAGATGTCCCTTCAATATCTGGTCTCCCGTCTACTCTTTGGGTGGTAGAAGAATCCCAACTGATGATCAACTGCAGTAACTACACTTCACCAGGCAACCCGGCAACAACTAACTACACATGGAGCTATGGGCAATCAGTGTTCAGTACTGAGGAAGTACTTCAAATAGACGACGTTAACCGAACTGAAGGAGGACACTACACTTGCACTGTCAGCAACCTTGTTGGGTCGGAGTCTGCTTCCGTCAGTGTCGACGTACAATGTGAGTGGTTTATTGACCCAAAGCACTCAAAATGATCCTTGTGACAAGGTGTAGTTGTTTTGGACTAAATTATTGCTTATACTCTCTGCAAACTTTGCATTTACACACAAAACACCCCATCTTTACAATCAAAGACTAAGAACATTATGATGTTGTCTTGTGATAATACATGGACATACAAGTAAGTAAGTAAGTGTAAGTAAGTGTTTCTGCTACAGGTAAAGCTATGTGTGTATGGACATGTGTAAGCTTACCGCATGGCTTTGTCTCCACAGACGCTCCACTGACATCTGGGTTTCCTTCGACGTACAGAGTAACTGAGTCATCTAGTCTCAGGATAGACTGTAGCAATTACACCACAGCAGGGAATCCTCCCAGTACAAGCTACATGTGGACCTATGGCGGTTCTACTGTCAGTACAGGGGCGGTTCTTGCCAGAAGGAACATCAGCACTAATCAGGGAGGACAGTACACCTGCATTGCCAGCAACACTTTGACACCATACAGAGGGACTCCACGACAAGGCATTGCTACAGCACAAATCAATGTGGATGTTCAGTGTAAGTCTATTTTTGATAATGCTGCAGCTATATGTCAAATACATTTTGACATTCACATATACATGCATGTATGCAAGTTTGTGATTCATTTATGTGTTTATGTGTATTGGTAGTATGGGTTGGGTTTTCGTTCGTTCCTTCGTTCCTTTGTTCGTTTTTCAATGAGTGATTGAACACGTTTGATATCCACTTCTCCTTTCATCACTTTGGAAGCTTAAAGCAGATTAGCGATGATGTGACGTCAATGCATGTGTGGGTGTATAAGTAACTGCGTGTAATAGTTCAAAGTGCCATCTTTTAACTCCCATTCACATCAGAGGTAGTCAACATAATAGATCGGGCGCGAGCGGGTCAGTCGTCTTTGGCGCCGCGATTCGCTGTGCAGAGTTTGGTCCCTTTGGCACGCCATAAACCTATGTTTGTGGGTTCGAATCCCGGTTCACCCGGATTATGTTTCCAGGTTTGTCAGCACCATACCCGTGCTCGTGGGTTTCACCGAAATGGTAAACGTTTCAGACCTGCATCACTTCGGGCTTTCTGTCAGCTGACACGCCGTGATATAACTGGAATAATTTTAAAAGCAGTGTTAAACACCACGCTCACTCACTCACTCACTCACTCACTCACTCACTCACTCACTCACTCACTCACTCACTCACTCACTCACTCACTATCTCACTCACTCACTCACTCACTCACTCACTCACTCACTCACTCACCCACCCACTCACTCACTCGCTCGCTCGCTCACTCACTCACTCACTCACTCACTCACTCACTCACTCACTCACCCACCCACCCACTCACTCACTCACTCACTCACTCACCCACCCACCCACCCACTCACTCACTCACTCACTCACCCACTCACTCACTCACTCACTCACTCACTCACTCACTCACTCACACAACTGACGTTTGAAGTGGATGATAAATATACGCTTAGATTTAGGTTATGAAGTCATACATTTCCAATGAACAGATGCTCCTTCAATATCTGGTCTCCCGTCTACTCTTTGGGTGGTAGAAGAATCACAACTGATGATCAACTGCAGTAACTACACATCACGAGGCAACCCGGCAACAACTAACTACACATGGAGCTATGGACAATCAGTGTTCACTACTGAGGAAGTACTTCAGATAGACAACATTAACAGAACTGAAGGAGGGCACTACGCTTGCACTGTCAGCAACCTTGTTGGGTCGGAGTCTGCTTCCGTCAGTGTCGACGTACAATGTGAGTGGTTTATTGACACTGGTGTACTTGTTATGTACAATAAACAGAACAAAATGCACTCAAAAAACCTTATGCTTATATGTGTTTATTGGAAACATTCATTTTATCTCACTGTGCATAATTTACTGATAAAAGTTCATTATTTACATTAATCTCGCCGAGTAAAAGCCGAGCCTCGCGCTCAGTTTGACAAGGGAGAGAACTCCTTCGTATCGCGGTGCAGGGAAAAGTTGTGTATGGAGAACAACAGGACCAACATCTACCAAGAACTAAGTATGATAATGTCAGACTTCAGTGATTTGTCCAGACAAGAGCAAAGACAGCACACGTACAATTCTGAATGTGTTATCAGTTATAGGTATGCAATGCATATTGAAATATAAAAGTAAGAAAACGATATTTTTAACAACAAAATATCAGACATTATATTTTAAGGTTTTTGTTTAAAAAATTGGATGACAATAATTTGGTGAAAAAATAGAAAAATGATTAAAGTAAACAATAAATATATATAAGGCACTCCTTGAATGACAAAATAATGTATTTATGATTTGGCTGCTGGTGAAGAACGTATTTCTAAGTATGGCATTATGACCCTTATGATCTACTAATAGATTCTGGCCACAGAGCGGGGAAAAAATGTGCGGACTACGTAACCTTATTTGCCGCCATGAATATGCAGATGATCTAGTTCAGGTCGAGAGAGAAAGTTTACTTGGGACACTGCGGGTTATATCTTTTGCCATTGAAAGATGGGGTTAAGGCAATTTTAAAAGTATGTAAGTATCAACGCGTAAATGACTCCCTACTTACAGCAGACGGAACATTCCTATTAAATTGAAATTGTTTACGAAGTGAGCACTTCCTGGTTCCTGATTTGCATTAACAGACAGCCGCTAAGAGGCGTGTCCCGCGTGAACTGCCGGAAATCACAAATGACGCGGTACGATGAATGCAATTATGTTTCAAAGGAAAAAATATATATGAAGAAAATTATAATGTAAAGCTGATCTTGAAATAGTGATACTGCATGAAAATACATTGTTATTCTTAAAACAGCTACAAGTAATATTCTGTTTCAGATGTGCCATCTATATCTGTTTTTCCCACAATCTTCCGGGTGATCGAGTCTTCAAGATTGTGGATCGACTGTGGAGCATACACCACACATGGGCATCCAGAAGTAACACGCTATTCTTGGACCTTCAATGGTTCCCAAGTCAGTGCCAGTTCTCTGCTTGGAATAGACGGCATCAGTAGAGGCCAAGCAGGACAGTATACCTGTACTGCCCGCAACACTCTGACACCAAGAGGGGGATCTGAACAGCAAGGAGAAGCAACAGCCAAGGTTAACGTTGACGTACAGTGTGAGTTACTCCGTGATGTACCAGAGCAATAGACACACTTACTTATAAGTCCAGATTTTTTTTCTTTTACCGGTATGAAATCACTTCTGTTAATATATTATTTTGATAATAGACAGAACGTGAAGGAAAGTGAATTTGTATAATGAGCAGAACAACACCCTTATATGTACATGTCATATCAGAACAGCTCGACATTATTCATTCTACACATGTTATGACATTTGTTACTGAACGTGATGATCGTAAATCTATTTATAAACACATATCTATCAACAAAGTTTCAGGACAATGTATAACAAATGCAAGCAAATGTCATCTGAAATACACTGAGAAAATATCATGTGTACATGTGAGATGTGGTGCTAGGATACTTAGACACGAAATAGGCACCAATTGCGGCCCTGTGGTCTTGGGGTCGGCATGTAGAGTACAACTTTCAGTTTTTAGGTATCAGTGCCAAACATTATGTACAGTGCTATTCCTTATCTTGACTTGAATCATATGTGTATTTGTTATGAAATGCCCAATTTCTCGCGAACATCTGGTATCATCACTCTTTGATAGTGATCCATACACACATGCGCAGAGACGGAATCCTATATAAAGCTACAAAGCTAAGATTTCTAATGATTATGAAAGGGTTTCGTTGTTGCTATTTAACCAAACAAATGACTATCGTGACAAACTGAAACAGGTGCAACTGTGAGGGATAACAATTGTTGTCGATCCAACACAACATTTACTTTTTAACTTTAATTCATAACACACACACACACACACACACACACACACACGCACACGCACACACACACACACACACACACACACACACACACACACACACACACACATTACACACATATGCTGTATGTTTTGTCAGACCCACCAACACTTACCGCATTTCCGTCAACGAGGAGAGTCACAGAGATGTCCACATTACGTATAGACTGTCACAGTGCCACTACGCCAGGCAACCCGTCAGTGACAAGCTACACATGGACATATAAAGGTTCTAGCTTCAGTAAGGAGGCTGTGTTGACTGTGTACAATATCAGCAGGAGTCAGAAGGGGGAATATGTATGCACAGCTAGTAACACTCTGACCCCAAGTGGAGACTCTCAACGGCAGGGTGCAGCCGACAGACATATCAATGTTGAAGTCGAGTGTGAGTATACGTGACATCATTTCATTGAAAGGTGGGGAAAATAAACTGACGTGCATGTACGCTGACACTAACATTAGTAATATCTTATGGCAGTAACACAGCTTAGCAAATGTATCTTATTGCCGTAATACCTTATAGCTGTTATGTCGTATTGCCTTTTAATGTTACCATAGTTGTCTATACATATTTGCTATCTTTATTTATTTCTTTCTTAAAAGGTATTGAATTTATTATATAACTGCAAAACTATTACAGGCTAAAATCACAAATACACATACAATAATCAAGTAACAAATTTGTGTTTGTGTAATATACCATGCCTGACGATTATATTTATGCTTGGACACCACAGCTTCATATTTTCTCAGCTTATAACACGCACTACAACTACTCACCAACATCTTAAATCAATGAGTCAGTCATTGTTCTGTACAATTTGATTGAATTATACATGGACGGAATCCATTAAACAAAAGCCCGATCCCCTTTACAGTTCCCCCTTCAATATCCGGACTCCCGTCTACTCACTGGGTGGTGGAAGAATCACAACTGTGGATCAACTGTAGCAAGTACACCTCACCCGGCAACCCGGCAACAACCAACTACACATGGATCTATGGACAGTCAGTGTTCAGTAATGAGGAAGTTCTCCAAGTAGACAGCATCAACAGGACCAAGGCTGGACAGTACACCTGCACTGTCAGCAATGTTGTTGGGTCGGAGTCAGCTTCCGTCAGTGTTGATGTACAATGTGAGTGTTTAACTGACTCAAAGCTCACACCTTCGTGAAACATGCCACCACACAACATGCATTATCATACCTTCATGTCAGAATGATGTAATCTGATTGGTCTACGTTATGTAAATAAAATACTATGTATCCTGCCTTTGAGGGAAATAAATTTCTCAGCGGGGAATAAATTCCGTATACCCCACCACGAGCTGAACGTTGATTTCTGAGAGATCTAGCTGAATCAAAGCTCACACTCTGATGATTTTATTACACACGCCATCATATAATGTCTAATGTGTCATATATTGTGTTATCATATACAATCTCATGTCAACAGATGCACCTTCTCTATCTGGCTTCCCGTCTTCCTACCAAGTAGTTGAAGACAGTGATCTCTGGATCAACTGTAGGAACTATACTTCACCCGGCAAGCCTAGTAGAAGTAACTACACATGGAGCTATGAGGGATCTGTGTTCAATGCCGTGGCTGTTCTTCAAGACCGTGGCATCAACAGAACTGCAGGAGGCCTATACACATGCACAGTTAACAACGAAGTCGGTTCAGATTCAGCCACAGTCAATGTAATTGTACAGTGTGATTTGAGATACCTATCACGATACAATAATCACAGTGTACTTGTAACACAGCAACCCTCAGGTAATGACATAGTCATGCTCATAGGATTCGTTTGTTTGTTTGTTGTTTAACACTACACTCGGCAACGTTCTGGCTTTATGAGGGTGGCCTGTACATAATCGAAGGTGGACCAGACAGTCTGGTGATTGACGTCATGAACATCGACAAGCGAATTGGTGCACAATGACATGCATCAACAAAGTATGACTACAAAATCCCGTTTGTGACCTCTTACGACAAGCATTGGTTGCTGAAGACCAATTCTAACCCAGATCTTTACGGTTGGTATGCAAGCATGGGTTGCTGAAGTCCAATTCTTACCCGGATATTCACAAAGGAATACAATAAAATGACATCAGTAATATTACTTTCTAAACTCCAAGAAGACATACATGAAAATAATCAAATACTCCCTTTGTGTATAAATACCCAGTACAAAGTGGCTGCCAAGTTAATCGAAATAAGATAGTATATATCTAAACAGAAGTGCATGTGTTCATCTGGTAAAAAAAAGTACAATAACGATTCTTCTGAATTTCAAAATGTGAGAATTCCTTGTTAAAGAAGTAACGTACACAAAGAGTTAACATTCTTTGTCATCATTGTAGCCTTTCAGAACAGACAATTCGTTATTTTAACAGATGCTCCTTCTTTGTCTGACTTCCCATCGTCTTACGGAGTGATAGAGACATCCAGAGTGTGGGTAGACTGTAGCAGCTACATCGTCCAAGGACACCCTCCGACAACAAACTACACTTGGACATTGGACAGTTCTGTCATCAGCACCAGTTCTGTGTTGGAAATACACAACACTAGAAGGAATCAAGAAGGGCAGTACACCTGTACAGCTTATAACACTCTCACACCAAGTGAAGGACCTCAACAGTTAGGCTCAGCTACAGGACAGGTTTTACTGGACATACAGTGTGAGACTTGGTGTTTATGTATGGCATATGTATTGTAGAGGTGTTAAATAGAGAATCTGTTAATCATTCATCACCAGTTTACCGAAAAGTAAACATCAATGTTCTCCTGATACAATATGGGACAAAGCACATATATCGACAAATATGTAATATGGATGAGCGTTCAAACTCTCTGAAATAATGAACATAAAGTTGTGATGTCATACCAGTATGATGCATTTGGTCTTTGTTTCCACTGTTTAAAATCTGCCTTATTGTGTTCAGTATGACATCACATGTTCAGTGAAGACAGCGTGTATAAATAGTGTCGATTTCGTAACTTATGTATACATTCTACATGAATGTATTTCAAATTGCGTGGCTCAATTGTAAAACATGTTATTATTTCCAGACCCACCAACTATCTCTGGGTTACCATCAGTGATGAACGTCACGGAGTTCTCTTCATTCAGTGTGGACTGCAGCAATGTAACTACCCCGGGAAACCCAGGAGGCACAAACTACACTTGGACACACAATGGTTACACTGTCAGTGCAGAGCCACAGCTTGTACTAGAGAGCATGAGTAGGAACCAGAGTGGACTGTACACCTGCACAGCCAGCAACATGCTCAGACCAAGTGGAGGCAGGCTACAACTGGGGACAGCAAGCGAACCTGTTAGTGTGGATGTGCAGTGTGAGTTTGGAAGAAGATACTTTTGCAATTAATATTTATTCATTTCGTATTGCCACAATATTCAATAATCCAACTGATATCATTACTCCCTGTGATTGTCCAGTCTGGACCAGACAAACAAGTGATTGGCATCGCCAACAACCTGCAACGATGTCAGGGTACGATGACATAGAATCAACCATGTCACCAAGCCTGACCACCCTGTCTATTCAGTCGCTTCTTGCGACAAGAACATGTAGTTTGCTCGGAACCTATTTTATCAGAAGAATTTCTGAATCTTCTTTTAAAACGTTCAGTGTATCTCCCATCTTTGTTCATTCTTGTACTAAAATGTTTTCATTTTTCCTTTAAGATGGTCCCAGGGATAGTGTTACTATTACACCATCAGGATCACTGAGTATGGTTGAGGGAACTGGTGCTTTAACTGCCACCTGCACTGCCGAGTGTAACCCAAGCTGCACTGTAACATGGAGGAAAGACAACATCCCCTTGGCAGGCCAGATGAGTCTCAGCAATGTGTCCAGAACAGACCAGGGGGACTACACCTGTCAGGCACAAAACGGCATTGGTGACTCTCAGGAAAAAAACATCAGACTCACTGTGTACAGTACGTAACTTTCACAATACAATATGGTAGATAAACATATGCTTTAATCCGAAAACGTGCTAGTGTGTCATTTTCTGGACTGTCTGGGACATCACTGGGCAGTCTGGTCCAGACTAGAATGTTTACAGGCTGCCGTATGAGTACTGCTGGGCGGCGTTAGGCATCAAACACATACATTTTATGCAACTTTGTGAATGGCGGGTGCTGACGTTAGAGCAGGACATGCTTTTCCTCTTCAAAAACACTTGTTTTGTGATCCATTCATATAACTGTCGCCAGTATTCTGCCTTTTACTTCCAATATAATCTGTTTCGGGAGATAATCAGGACTGAGTAATCTCTGGCGTTTTATATTTAAAATATAATAGGGCTTCTTGTGGTAATAATCGTGAAGGTATTCTTGAGTCCACATTTCCTCAGTCTGGTCATTGTTCGGGAATCATGTCATTCCTCTATAAGATTATTCACCCTAGGTAACCATTTATCATTGGCGTTAAGTTAACATGGTAGGTATGAGATAATGCCAAATATATAATAAAGCTGCTCAAATTAATATTGTCGTAAATTTCAGTGAAGCTGCAATAAGTTGTTCTCAAGTATATTGCCCCCGTCCTCTGTATCCAGATACTTCCAGGTGGCTGCTGTGACTGATACATCCGTGTCATCTTTATTTCAGCCCCGCCCTCTGTACCCACAGACTTCCACGTGGCTGCTGTGACTGATACATCTGTGTCATCCTTATTTCAGCCCCGCCCTCTGTTCCCACAGACTTCCAGGTGGTTGTGACTGATACATCTGTGTCATCTTTATTTCAGCTCCACCCTCTGTACCCACAGACTTCCAGGTGGCTGCTGTGACTGATACATCTGTGTCTCTACAGTGGACCTCCAGCTTCGATGGTGGTGCTGACCAGACGTTCACTCTCCTGTACAAATCGGAATTGGAGTCTCATTGGTTGACATGGAACGACAACATAGCCGATCCAGGAATTAGTCATTACGTCAGTGTGCACATCCAAGGACTGACACCTGCCGTGACGTACCACTTCCAGTTGTATGCTACTAATGTCTATGGTGAAGGGGAGATAACAGTGTTAAATACAACAACCACACTATGTAAGTGACACTAAGGACAATGGCTTATCAAGGCTATATTTTATCAAACAAACAATGGTATTGTGTTAAACGTTGTGCATTTATTGCTTCTGGAAAAGTAATGATTTCTTGTGACTGCTAGTTTGCGAACGCTTGGTAACTTCATTATTTGATTCATGTACACATGTTTGTGAATTAGACGAAATCGTACAATGGGATGTGTGTTTTGTTGAGAGTCTTTATTATCATGGAAACGCTTTTATTTATTTTCAGTATCCTTTTTGAATGCTGCAACATTCACTAGCATCCACAGGCAGCTTGTTTTATACCAGGTTTTGTGCGAACATTATCTATCATTTCTAGCCAAAGCATCAGTCATGAGCAAACATGGAATTACAATCGGCCTTGCAGCTGGACTCGGTATCCTGGTTGTGGTTGCCCTCGTCACCGTCTCAGTGGTTCTTTGTCGGAGACAGACCCAGCACACTTTGGGTATGTATTTGAGAATGTTTAGGTCTGATATTTTTGGGGTTACGGATTTTCAGTCTAACAATTGAGGTCGTTAGGTCGATTTATAAAGAAATTAAATTTCAAATATGTTCATGGCCTCAGTTAATCCAAGAAGGGAGGGAGTCATTGTGATAAATTTACCCAAAAAAATAATTTTAAGTAATTTACTTCTACTGATAGTGACTTATTTCTGGTCTGTGGAATGGCAACATGGAAACTGCTTTTCCCCTAATCCTAGCCCCAAAACTACGCCTCACCCTGTACCCCGACCTACCTTCTTCTACCCCCACCCGCCATAAAGATTATCATGTATGACCTTATTTCATCATATATTACTATATATTACTTGTTGTAAATTACTGTAGGTTTACATACTGTTTTATATTTTATTTGCTTGTTGTCGAACGTCCTTTCCTATTGTAATTAAGACAATATTTTATTATTATGTCAAGTTGTAGGTGGAGAGGAACCTACAAACCTACCTATGTAAGTATAACGTAGCAGTTGTCCTTCTGGAAATCTGGGTCAGTGCATGTCATTGTATCCCAATTGCTTAAGTAACCTGTGAAGATCCGGGGTAGAATAGGTCTTCAGCAATCCATTCTTGCCGTAAGAGGCGACTATGCTTGTCGTAAGAGGCGACTAACGGGACCGGGTGGTCAGGCTCGCTGACTTGTTGATGCATGTCATCGTATTCCAATAGCGTAGATCGACGCTAATGATTTCAATCACTGGATTGTCTGGTCCAGACTCGATGTTTTTACAGACCGCCCTCATATAGCTGGAATATTGCTGAGTGCAGTGCAACAAGAAAAAAACAAAACAACTACGTATAAGTATTCAATTTCACTGATGCTTCGCATAGGTTTGTTCGATAACCAGTAAAACCTTTTATTTATTTCCAACATCAAGGAATTCGTTCATGCCTCGGCCCAGTCCATTCGAGCATGGTAAGTACAAGTTTCAATCTTGCCCAGTCGTTCATATACATCAACTTCAGTGTTTCATTGAATCATAGTTCTTACATGTTCAACTATGTTTTTACCTACATAAGTACTTTCAGCAGCGAATTAAATTAAATCAATCTACTGATACGTGTAGGACGCAGGATGAAGGATGGATGTATCTAAATGAGTGTGTCCTGTCTGTAAAATTGCGCCAACTTCTCTATGCCTCAATAACTCCATGATGGCTGACACGGCACTGCGTTTGCGAAGAGAGAACCTTATTACATAGAAGATAGGAGAAAACCCTAGTTTCCAACTCTGAGATATCGAACGTCTATTTCATACAACCAAACGCGTCAGCATAACACATCGAGAATCAAAATATGAAAGCTATTTTCAATAGGCTGAAGAGTCAAAGTCAGGAACCAACGCTGACCTGTCACCTGCATATGATTTTACATATTCTAAAACCATTCTTTTCAACTAAATACTTAAATATTTTCAGTATTGAAACATTGACATCAGAGATCTCTCAGGTGGACATTGTGTATGCAGTATTAAAACTGTGATTCCATACATAAATATAAATGTGCCATGCTCCATGCAACGTTAATACCAGCAAAAACATGGCCGTACATATATTCGTTACCACTGGTATTAAATTACAAAACAAAGTCACGATACCTTTAACGATAGTTAGACAAAGGGTGGAGGAGAATATTTAAAATAGGTTTGTGTCAGTACTTTAACAATGTATCACTGCTGAAGACAGTGTGAACAAAATATACTTCACCCTTCTCAATTCCAAAACGTAAACAGTATTAATGTTTTCTCTACGTGTATGTAAGTGTGGAACATTAATAAATATGTTTCTATACATATATGCCGTGACATATGTTGATTTCTCCAGCGATGCAGGGCGTTTGGACATGGAGCAGTTGTCACATACCTAACCAACTGTGTTCATAAAATAAATGTTCACTCAAACACAAATGATATTGATGGTGTTAATACTTTCGTTAACTTTTCTCCAGATTCTGTTGACGTGAACACCAAGAGCTGCGATGTCACCAAACAGAGCTGTGAGGATTAGTGTCCATTGATGGATTCTTCCTGGTTATTTACAATCAATATCAGCTGAAGACAGATGCCTGCTTTGCCATCTATTCTGAATAACTAGTTTAAATCCCATGTACTTTACTGCTTTGTCTTTGGTGTATTTTCTGTACGTTGTTGATATTTTAAGATTGTGTTAAGGGCTCTCATGCTGGTGATGATGTGTATTGTTTACTGAAAGTATATAACGTGATGGAGGGTGCTTTATGATATATTGTAGTATAAGGGGTAACTTGTGTCATGATACGTGTACGGGCAGTGTATGAAGTATATAACGTGATGGAGGGTGCTGTATAATATATTGTAGTATAAGGGGTAACTTGTGTCATGATACGTGTACGGGCAGTGTATGGAGTATATCAAGTGATGGAAGGTGCTGTATTATATATTGTAGTATCAGGGTAACTTGTGTCATGATACGCGTACGGGCAGTGTATGGAGTATATCAAGTGATGGAAGGTGCTGTATAATATATTGTAGTATAAGGGGTAACTTGTGTCATGATACGCGTACGGACAGTGTATGGAGTATATAACGTGATGGAAGGTGCTTTATGATATATTGTAGTATAAGGGGTAACTTGTGTCATGATACGCGTACGGACAGTGTATGGAGTATATAACGTGATGGAAGGTGCTTTATGATATATTGTAGTATAAGGGGTAACTTGTGTCATGATACGCGTACGGACAGTGTATGGAGTATATAACGTGATGGAAGGTGCTTTATGATATATTGTAGTATAAGGGGTAACTTGTGTCATGATACGCGTACGGGCAGTGTATGGAGTATATAACGTGATGGAGGGTGCTTTATGATATATTGTAGTATAAGGGGTAACTTGTGTCATGATACGCGTACGGACAGTGTATGGAGTATATAACGTGATGGAAGGTGCTTTATGATATATTGTAGTATAAGGGGTAACTTGTGTCATGATACGCGTACGGACAGTGTATGGAGTATATAACGTGATGGAAGGTGCTTTATGATATATTGTAGTATAAGGGGTAACTTGTGTCATGATACGCGTACGGACAGTGTATGGAGTATATAACGTGATGGAAGGTGCTTTATGATATATTGTAGTATAAGGGGTAACTTGTGTCATGATACGCGTACGGACAGTGTATGGAGTATATAACGTGATGGAAGGTGCTTTATGATATATTGTAGTATAAGGGGTAACTTGTGTCATGATACGCGTACGGACAGTGTATGGAGTATATAACGTGATGGAAGGTGCTTTATGATATATTGTAGTATAAGGGGTAACTTGTGTCATGATACGCGTACGGACAGTGTATGGAGTATATCAAGTGATGGAAGGTGCTGTATTATATATTGTAGTATCAGGGTAACTTGTGTCATGATACGCGTACGGGCAGTGTATGGAGTATATCAAGTGATGGAAGGTGCTGTATGATATATTGTAGTATAAGGGGTAACTTGTGTCATGATACGCGTACGGACAGTGTATGGAGTATATAACGTGATGGAAGGTGCTTTATGATATATTGTAGTATAAGGGGTAACTTGTGTCATGATACGCGTACGGACAGTGTATGGAGTATATAACGTGATGGAAGGTGCTTTATGATATATTGTAGTATAAGGGGTAACTTGTGTCATGATACGCGTACGGACAGTGTATGGAGTATATAACGTGATGGAAGGTGCTTTATGATATATTGTAGTATAAGGGGTAACTTGTGTCATGATACGCGTACGGACAGTGTATGGAGTATATAACGTGATGGAAGGTGCTTTATGATATATTGTAGTATAAGGGGTAACTTGTGTCATGATACGCGTACGGACAGTGTATGGAGTATATAACGTGATGGAAGGTGCTTTATGATATATTGTAGTATAAGGGGTAACTTGTGTCATGATACGCGTACGGACAGTGTATGGAGTATATAACGTGATGGAGGGTGCTTTATGATATATTGTAGTATAAGGGGTAACTTGTGTCATGATACGCGTACGGACAGTGTATGGAGTATATAACGTGATGGAAGGTGCTTTATGATATATTGTAGTATAAGGGGTAACTTGTGTCATGATACGCGTACGGACAGTGTATGGAGTATATAACGTGATGGAAGGTGCTTTATGATATATTGTAGTATAAGGGGTAACTTGTGTCATGATACGCGTACGGACAGTGTATGGAGTATATAACGTGATGGAGGGTGCTTTATGATATATTGTAGTATAAGGGGTAACTTGTGTCATGATACGCGTACGGACAGTGTATGGAGTATATAACGTGATGGAAGGTGCTTTATGATATATTGTAGTATAAGGGGTAACTTGTGTCATGATACGCGTACGGACAGTGTATGGAGTATATAACGTGATGGAAGGTGCTTTATGATATATTGTAGTATAAGGGGTAACTTGTGTCATGATACGCGTACGGGCAGTGTATGGAGTATATAACGTGATGGAGGGTGCTTTATGATATATTGTAGTATAAGGGGTAACTTGTGTCATGATACGCGTACGGACAGTGTATGGAGTATATAACGTGATGGAAGGTGCTTTATGATATATTGTAGTATAAGGGGTAACTTGTGTCATGATACGCGTACGGACAGTGTATGGAGTATATAACGTGATGGAAGGTGCTTTATGATATATTGTAGTATAAGGGGTAACTTGTGTCATGATACGCGTACGGGCAGTGTATGGAGTATATAACGTGATGGAGGGTGCTTTATGATATATTGTAGTATAAGGGGTAACTTGTGTCATGATACGTGTACGGGCAGTGTATGGAGTATATCAAGTGATGGAAGGTGCTGTATTATATATTGTAGTATCAGGGTAACTTGTGTCATGATACGCGTACGGGCAGTGTATGGAGTATATCAAGTGATGGAAGGTGCTGTATGATATATTGTAGTATAAGGGGTAACTTGTGTCATGATACGCGTACGGACAGTGTATGGAGTATATAACGTGATGGAAGGTGCTTTATGATATATTGTAGTATAAGGGGTAACTTGTGTCATGATACGCGTACGGACAGTGTATGGAGTATATAACGTGATGGAAGGTGCTTTATGATATATTGTAGTATAAGGGGTAACTTGTGTCATGATACGCGTACGGACAGTGTATGGAGTATATAACGTGATGGAAGGTGCTTTATGATATATTGTAGTATAAGGGGTAACTTGTGTCATGATACGCGTACGGACAGTGTATGGAGTATATAACGTGATGGAAGGTGCTTTATGATATATTGTAGTATAAGGGGTAACTTGTGTCATGATACGCGTACGGACAGTGTATGGAGTATATAACGTGATGGAAGGTGCTTTATGATATATTGTAGTATAAGGGGTAACTTGTGTCATGATACGCGTACGGACAGTGTATGGAGTATATAACGTGATGGAAGGTGCTTTATGATATATTGTAGTATAAGGGGTAACTTGTGTCATGATACGCGTACGGACAGTGTATGGAGTATATAACGTGATGGAGGGTGCTTTATGATATATTGTAGTATAAGGGGTAACTTGTGTCATGATACGCGTACGGACAGTGTATGGAGTATATAACGTGATGGAAGGTGCTTTATGATATATTGTAGTATAAGGGGTAACTTGTGTCATGATACGCGTACGGACAGTGTATGGAGTATATAACGTGATGGAAGGTGCTTTATGATATATTGTAGTATAAGGGGTAACTTGTGTCATGATACGCGTACGGACAGTGTATGGAGTATATAACGTGATGGAGGGTGCTTTATGATATATTGTAGTATAAGGGGTAACTTGTGTCATGATACGCGTACGGACAGTGTATGGAGTATATAACGTGATGGAAGGTGCTTTATGATATATTGTAGTATAAGGGGTAACTTGTGTCATGATACGCGTACGGACAGTGTATGGAGTATATAACGTGATGGAAGGTGCTTTATGATATATTGTAGTATAAGGGGTAACTTGTGTCATGATACGCGTACGGGCAGTGTATGGAGTATATAACGTGATGGAGGGTGCTTTATGATATATTGTAGTATAAGGGGTAACTTGTGTCATGATACGCGTACGGACAGTGTATGGAGTATATAACGTGATGGAAGGTGCTTTATGATATATTGTAGTATAAGGGGTAACTTGTGTCATGATACGCGTACGGACAGTGTATGGAGTATATAACGTGATGGAAGGTGCTTTATGATATATTGTAGTATAAGGGGTAACTTGTGTCATGATACGCGTACGGACAGTGTATGGAGTATATAACGTGATGGAAGGTGCTTTATGATATATTGTAGTATAAGGGGTAACTTGTGTCATGATACGCGTACGGACAGTGTATGGAGTATATAACGTGATGGAAGGTGCTTTATGATATATTGTAGTATAAGGGGTAACTTGTGTCATGATACGCGTACGGGCAGTGTATGGAGTATATAACGTGATGGAGGGTGCTTTATGATATATTGTAGTATAAGGGGTAACTTGTGTCATGATACGCGTACGGACAGTGTATGGAGTATATAACGTGATGGAAGGTGCTTTATGATATATTGTAGTATAAGGGGTAACTTGTGTCATGATACGCGTACGGACAGTGTATGGAGTATATAACGTGATGGAAGGTGCTTTATGATATATTGTAGTATAAGGGGTAACTTGTGTCATGATACGCGTACGGACAGTGTATGGAGTATATAACGTGATGGAGGGTGCTTTATGATATATTGTAGTATAAGGGGTAACTTGTGTCATGATACGCGTACGGACAGTGTATGGAGTATATCAAGTGATGGAAGGTGCTGTATTATATATTGTAGTATAAGGGGTAACTTGTGTCATGATACGCGTACGGGCAGTGTATGGAGTATATCAAGTGATGGCAGGTTCTGTATAATAAATTGTAGTATAAGGGGTAACTTGTGTCATAATACGCGTACGGGCAGTGTATGGAGTATATCAAGTGATGGCAGGTTCTGTATAATATATTGTAGTATAAGGGGTAACTTGTGTCATGATACGCGTACGGACAGTGTATGGAGTATATCAAGTGATGGCAGGTTCTGTATAACATATTGTAGTATAAGGGGTAACTTGTGTCATGATACGCGTATGGGCAGTGTATGGAGTATATCAAGTGATGGCAGGTTCTGTATAATATATTGTAGTAAAAGGGGTAACTTGTGTCATGATACGCGTACGGGCAGTGCATGGAGTATATCAAGTGATGGAAGGTTCTGTATAATATATTGTAGTATAAGGGGTAACTTGTGTCATGATACGCGTAGGGGCAGTGTATGGAATTAATTCTAAATGGATGAAATACGAATATGTCAGACGAAGGGCGATAGAATAAATGGGAGGACAGTCAGACCGTTAGGACAGTTGGATTCAGTAATGGAATATAGACGTGTGTTGATTTCTAGCTATTAAATGGTCTATATAATAACGTTTTAGATGTCGGTTATATCAACTTAACACACGTGCATGGTGATCGAGTATAATAACTTTTCATAGGTTTCACATGTGCATTTCAGTGGTTCTTGTACCTGAGTGGTCCGCTAGAAATGCTATGCTCTTTTTGGTTCTGCAAAGACTTAACTAACAGTGCATTCTTTTAAAAACATCTCATTATTCGTATTATCTCACCCCTAATACATTCAGGAGTTTGTCCTTAAAACGGAAATTACATGAAATGGAAGTGTCACGCTACATATGAAGGACACAATTTCAAGTGGTCCTATTTGTCAAATCCCAATTTGTCCAGCTCTGTTATTCGATTATCTCAATGAGCAACACAATGTCATTTTGTCTCTCCAATCCAAAACACTTCTTCAGAATGATTTTCTAATGATTCAAATGCTGACATCAATATCTGTGTACATCAATGAACATGAAACTCAAAGATGAACGTTTTCTTGCGGAGTGCAACTGATCCACAAAAATGAACAAATTCCACCAAATACAGTTATCATTTTTATCTGTACATGTTTCTCATTTCGTCGCATAAATCGGACAGTTGAGTATACGACCTTACCTCTGAAGGGCATTGAGTCGAGAATCATACTTTCTCACAGACGTCATAAGGACAAACAGTTACGGTCCGAGTGTGTTCATTTCGTCAAACCAACGGAAGTGATAAAGTCCAAACCAAAGGCATTAAAACTGCAGAGTAACAACAGGACCTCGTGGATTTGGTGACCATGTTGAATACAAACCATACTTTGGTGGAAAAATAAGTCAGGTCATGTACGGCAACTGCCTCTTTCTGTTCGTTAGATTTGTAATAACTTGTAATGAATAAATTCCCTTGTGCTCATTATAATTCCTGCATTCTTATGAGCTAAAGTCATCACGTGTTATTGCGTCCTTTTCCAAATGCATGTAAACAAATAAGCCACGCCTGCTGAAGTGGACTGCTTTCACCAGTACGGAATGTCGGGGAATCCCAATTACGGTCGAGACAATTCCCTTCTCCTCACCTGTGTCATCATACACAGGACTTTTTAGCGAAATCCATGTGTATTCAGTGTGCAAACTACCCTTCCATGCCGAAGGCAAAGAAGGAATGAAACAGCAAACGTGCTACACTCTTCCTATTGGCTGCAAGGTTTGTGGGAGTACTTAATTTTGTGCATAAATTAAACAATCACCTGATTCATGTCAAGCCCCAGTATATATTTCTCTCTGCGAATTTAATTTTGAGGAGTGAGTGTGTATTTGTATCTGTTCAATGAGGTATGATTCGAAAAAGCGATGTGCAAACTTGTGTTAAACTCCGCTTTGCGGATGAAGTCTTGTCAGCTAGTTCTCTCCAAAATAATGTTTCTTAATGACATGGACATCTAAACGTAATGACGCAATATTGGCGTTATTCTATCACGACTTGTATGTATGATAATGAATCCAAACGGTCGGCTTTCTTGATCTTGATTGTACTATTTTGGAAGAGGGAGATCTGAGTGCTCGCCAAGGACTGCTGATTTGACTTTCATAAGCCTATGTTAAAGTATGGGAGTTACGATCATCTTTGAGATGAGATTGCTTTTTGGAACGGCTTCCAGATCAATAATAAGATTACAATTTACCACTGACGTACAACCATTTGCGATACACAATATTGTTTGTATCAATTTGTTACCGAATGGATTGTGGGTTGGAGTATGTCCCAAGCACCTAATGATTGTAGAAACATGTCTACGGGGACAGAGAGTGTGTACTTTTTGTAATTCACAATTCAATGAAGGTGAATTTAATTATTTCTTTACATGCTCAGCCTATAAAAAAAAATGTAAAATACTTAAAAGACTACCACTGTACATGGCCTAACCTTATAAAACAAACACCGCCAAAACAACAAATTCTCAACCATAATGAACTTATCTAATTTCTAAACACACCTCAATAAGAAACACAAATAATACATTTTCATATTGCTACAAGTTGTGGAATATTCTATTTGTAATCAATAACCACCGATGGCCGTCCTCAACGGGTGTGTTGGAAAGACCCGATAATTGTGAATAGCGTTGGGGCATAAAGGGAGACCTGGTTGATTGTGTGCCACTATGCCCAGACGTCACGAATCTCTTGGCAAGCAGTGTATCACCATCCGCTCCAGGTTATTTACAGACAACCGCGATATGCTTGAATATATGCAAAAGCAGCATAGTGTCACTCACTCACTCACATATAGTCGTATTCAATGTAAATAGAATGGTTGCGACCCATCTATAGCTAGTGACTTTATTTCAAAGGTTTACAGTTTGTCGTACGTGATAGCTACTGTACTTTCAAACTTCAGAATTTGCTGAAATTGAAAACCAAAATAAATTCGATTTAGCTGAATTTATAAGACTGAACATTTTCAAAAAAACATGAACACAATTACTTCACGCGTATCAGTGTATTGTTGGAGTCTGTGACACTGGTGACGGCGGTCGTGATCAGTGCATTTCCTCTGAAGCGAAGCTCCAACGGATTCAGAAGTAGCAGGTTATGAAGAAAGTATTACACTAGCATGTGTGTCATACTCATTTGAGGAAAGTCATTTAAGAATTCATGTATTACCGTCGCTCACGCTCGGGAAGTACACGATTTTGTTTTTATTTAGAACGACTACTTCAACAGTGTCACTACTCCAATCTACTATCTACACGCAGTATCAGACAGGGATAACCTTGAGAGAGCCTGCTTCAGAATAATGTCGAACTATGATGACGTGAAAGTGTTGATACTGTGACCATGGTAAATGCTGCTACTTCCTTCCTCGATCTGGAATGAAAACACGATTCTTCAAGTGCAGACTCTAGCAGAAATACAGGGTCAAAGGCATCTCCTGACCTCATTTCCGATATTTGAGAACACTTGCCATTTCCCCGTCTCATTCAGCAACACCCACTTGGATCATGTATGAATAGGAATGATTGTGTCCCAGTCTAAATGTACGATAGGGATGTTTATTCTCAAGTGTTTAAATGAGCGGATATGAGTAGCATGTATGTGAGTCAATGTAATTTGGACATTGTTCTGGACCTCAAAACCTAAATACTTACACACATCTTCAGTTTACAAGATGCCTTAAATTAATGACTGCCTTATAATATTCGTTATAAAAAATATTAAGTGTATCTAAATCTACTGCAAAATTGAATTTACCATTTAATAAACATTAATAATAAGTCGCAGTGATTTTTTTCAAAGCCTCACCAAGTTTGATGTTTGGAAGGTGCACTCTATGTATCACCATAGTTCTTGTAACTGAAAGGCAACAGGGAAGATAATATTCTACCAGAAACACTGAGCAGTTATCTTACCGATCACCAAATAACAAACGTTGCAAGTGTTAAACATTTCACAAACGTTTAGCTTTTTAATGACAATTATGGGATCATATTTAAACGTGTTTAAACATTAGTCTCAATCACTACATTAACTATGCATATTTCTAAAACAGAACTCACAACTGCGTATCTGTACACGCTCTCCCTTGAACTCTTTTTCCTCTGCAATAAAACATGTGTTTATGGATTACAATTGTGTGATGTGACCATTACATCTTGGCTGTCTCACTTTAAGGGGTGCACAGGCAGCTACAGTCACAAACAGCGTTACGCGTTTTTACTGTCAACATGATATGAGAGCATTCAAAGTCAATTATTGTGATTTGAATCCTCTGATTGATCAAACAGAAGCAATTTGTTTCAGAATTTATGGTAAAACACTTTGTCAATCAGATTATCTGTTTTTACTTCAGCTTTAAAGGTCAAAACTGAGCCAGAAAAAAATTGTTTCCCATTGCACTTTATAAACTATGAAGGTACTATTAATACCTTTGTTCATGACTGGCCAATATTCAGAATCTTTGTCTTCTCTGACGTCTTTGTGTTTGAGTATCGGCCGACAGACGTGGCCATCGTACAGGATCCCTTGACAGTGTGATAACTTCACACACGATCGACCACATTGTAGCCGTGGGTCCATTATAGAGATGGGCATGTCTCTAGCACCCCTGTGTGTAAGTCTCAACGTGATCACGTGACCTCCGTGTGTGAGATCACAAAGGGATAACAGACCAATCACGTGCAGCCAGCTCGCGAGCCTCATAGTGTTGTCTGGAAGGCCAAGTAATTAAATGATTCAAAATGTGCCAATACATACGTGTGTTTGTTGTTTAACGCAACACAGGGTCATGTTACAGTTATATGAAGGCGGCATGTAAATAATCGCGTCTGAATCAAACAAGCCAGTGATTGACATCATGAATATCGACCCACGTATTTCCGATACGATGATATGCAATCACCCAGGTCACCAGGCCTGACTACCCGACCCATTTAGTCGCCTCTTACAACAGGCATAGGCTGCTCTTGGTATAAGTTCTTACGATAAGTTTGTATCGATGTTAGCAGTTGATATTCCAGATATCGATGAAACATATCGGTTAATCCATCACGGTATTTTGATTTGTCGTTACATCCCTCAGGTACTTTCCAGCACCGAATTCAAAACATAAGAAATATAAGAAAGCTACACGATAGATCACAAAGAATAATGAAGAACGATAAAACACTGTTATATCATGACGTCATTTCTGGAGTTTCGAACAAACGCCAGGAACGTGATGACGTCGTAAATTGAACGACGCTATTTTTGAAAGGCTAGTTGAGATAAACGCAATGGCCGAACGATCGCACCCAAACGTGGGCGAGCTTCGACATTCTGTACTGGGAGAAAAGGTACAGATAATGGCTGTCAATTGTTTTTTGTGTTGAGAATATCCAGGAAACACCAACTTAACCCAACATGAAAAGGACTTGTATTTTGGATCGGATTGTATTTTGGGAGTCATCATTATTTAAATACGGGTAAACATTCTTAAAGCATGTAAATGTTATAAACATCCTTGTTTATATTGAACGATAAACATATACCTCTCGTTTGTTTCTTAATCAAACACCACAACCGTTGTTATGGCGTGTCTACAACCATCAGGACTTCACATTAATACAACAGTTGCATCATATTATCAATAACATTTACATCCTTGCTAAAAACATACTGAGATCGTGTTTTTATCATGTACATTAGCATCGTATTCAGAAAACTATCCCCAAACTTATGGTTATTTTTATCAATTCACAACCTGTACCTACAACTCACCTGCTGATCAATTGTCTTCTGCAAACATATGAAAAAAATCTACAAATGTGTTCCTAAGCTTGACCACCATGGATATGTAAAATATTTATGTTCCTCAGTGATATCCTGAATGTGATGGGAGTAAACAAGATATCCATTTCACGCCACGCTAAATAGACAAAGACAACAAACGACCGATGTACTGTATTTCTTGTCGAGTGTATCACTTACAGTTTGGATACATAGATACAGCCCTGGTTAGCAACACACTTGTCCTCAAAACAAAACAAAACTGTGAACCTAGTAACTGCTAAAGATGACGTGGGGGAATTCGTTGTAGTAGTTGTAGCAACTGTGAAGCAGTATTAAGGAAGAGTAGCAAAATTACAATAAAGGACCACAAAGCGATCTCGGCACTACGACTATCATAAGCATATGTTAAAGTATAGGAATTACGATCATCTCAGCGCTGAGGTCGGTTTGTCGAACGGGTTTGACACTGATAGTAGATAATAGTTTCAGTATTGTATAATACGGAGAGATTTGTCAAC